TAGAACATCTAAAGATATCTACATTAGTGAACAGGCATACCCAAATGATCTTGTTGTGTATATTTTTGTATATAGGTTTAAGTGATTACACCTGCAAGTCTACATTTAAACATATATATACACATATTTATATGTATAAAACTTGACAAAATTCAACCTTACACTTTCGAAGCCAAGCGTCCCCTCATCATTTGCCAGTTTCTCTACCTTGTCAGGTAGAGACATGGCGCGTTAGGAAGGTTATGATCTGGCCTTTGTTGCCCTTCGAGCCAGAACTCAGGCATATATACATAGTATATCTATATACTGTCTATGAACTATAGTATCTATGGTATGTTCTATTTGTTGATGGTATCATGCTTTGCCATGCCATGATACCATGATATGGTGATATATACAAGCTGCTATCCAATGTTGATGATATACGATAAAATGTTCTATGTTACGTGTTCACATGCAGACTCGGCCGAGTTATGTGACTTGTTCTGATTATATACTATCCTGGTATCATGAGAAAACTTTGCGCATTCATGGTTGATATATATATATATAAATCTCTCTCTCTCTCACCTCGCTGTTTCTAAGTTCCTTGTTCAGCAGGGTATGTTGTTTTTTCGTTGACTATACACATAATTTGTGACGCTTTAAGTTCCCAATTTTGGGATGTTCTAAGTTCAATGTTCTGAAAATGTTCTAAGTGTACGTCAACAAAACTGACATTCCCAAACCATGTTCTAAGTTTCACTGAAACGTTATATATACATATAGTTAGCTTTGACACAATGGCAGGGTTTTAAACAATGATCTCAACTTGCAAACAGCGCGTCTTGGTCTCTTCTCAGTTTTCGAGTGTCCTTCAGCCGTGCGGGAATGACGTGGACCCGTGTCAAGCCAACAGTCAAGCCACGCAGGCCCGCCCATCCGCTCGCATCCTCATGCCTAGAAAGCTCGGAACAAGCACGGAGCACGCATGTCCTCTGGTCAGCCTCTGGTGAAGTCCTGGGATTGGAACATTCACACTACTTCAAACTTTTGTCAAGCTATTGGGCTCTAGTGCGCTTGTCGGCACGTTGTTTCAATACCTTCTTTTGATCATGAGTTGACACTTACCGATGAGAATGGCGACGTGCCTTAAAGGTACTTTGCGTGACTCTCGTCAGAGCATCAGCGAGTTGTGCGCCCCGTGTGTACCCATCGAACGTTGCAATTTGGCTGGGCTGTGCGGGATACTAAATCAGAATTGCAGTCTGTGACTGCCACTGATTGCATGTGGGAGAGAGACTGTGCCATGTGGATGCTGGATGATAGCACTTATGGCAATTCGCGGTGGCTTCCACTTCAACGCTGGGGCTCAAGAGCCATGGACAAAACAGTCGTGTCCATGATAGTTGGTCCAAGCTTCAATGCAACAAAGTTGTCTCTGCGGAAAGTGTGCTGGCGACCACTTGCTGAAACTTCTTACATCCCCATGAGGCCGTGCTCACAGGACATTGGAAGTTCTTCATGATGTTTGCACGCGTTGTTAATATTATCATGCTAGAGTGGCGCTCGGGACTTTTGGCTGACGCAAAAGATGCATCTGAAAAAACAATGAACCTTAGATTCTTGATTGGTAATTGCTATGGACTGGATGGTGAGGCTGGCTTCTTTGAACCACTTGGCTTGATGGAGGACCTTGTTGGCTTCAATCAAGTTTTGCGCTGTTTCTCGTTTGATCTCACTTTGCAAGAAGCTCAAGCAACTCGACAAGTCTGGTCCTGCGTTGACCGCTACGAACTGAAGGCTTCCGATCCATGCTCAGAGTGCATGTTTCTCCTCGGGTGTGACTGGATCATCAACACATGATCTACGATTGGCAGTCAAGACGATTGGATTGATTTTGCCTCTGTACTTACTTTGAGCGAGGTTTATGCTATAGTCTGCGTTCTGACTCACATATGTATCCCTACTTGGACATGTTTCTGCTACCGAACGAACAATTTTCACAGCAAGAACATCATCAAAATGCAAGCCAATGGTTGCGGATCGGATGGCTCTCTGTTGCCTGGTTTATAGAGCACGCATGCACATGGATCGAAAGGTGCAGGCTGCAATCCAAACTTGCAGAGTGTTCGATCAAGTTCCTTGACCCATCAAATTGGTGCGTCTCTGAGACCATATGCAGGCTTTCCAATTTGCATATCTCCCCTTCCTTCAGCTTCATGGCTTCCCTAAGTTCTTCAACGGCTCAACTGGCTCAATCCACAGAACTCTGCCGTCCTGGGTTTTGCCTTGAAGGAAAGCAGCTTTGATGTCGAATGATCGCAGTGTCCAACACACGGAAGCGTCAAGCTAAAGGAAGCATTCGCGCGGCGACCCAGGGTTGGGCTGTCCCGTGCAAGGGTATCAATGTCTGGGTCTTGGAAGCCCAACACAACCAATCTAGCTTTTGCTTCGTGGGTACTTGGAGATGGTCGCCCCGCTTGGGGCGCGTCCTCAAGTGACTCAAGTGGCATCCAGCACATATCCACCGACGACGAAGAATTTGTTCAACTCTTCCGGTGTTCAGCCAGTTCCCAATTTCCTTTTGGTCGGCTTCTCTGAACAATTGTTCCTTCTGGTCATTGAGCAGATGCATTTTTATTTCAGAACGATCTCGTTTGGAAGCCAATGCGACTATCACAAGGTTTGTCTCTTCTGCTTGTTTCCATTTGCGAAGATCTTAGCTTTCCACCCAATATGCTCACGCGAAGTGGCTTCAATTGGATGGACTTTATCACCCATGCACCGGAGTTCATCGCATAGCAGCTCACCGTCCGTCTCGGCAGGAACTGGAACTGGAACTCTCGCTGGATCACATCCAGGTTCCCGAGAGGTGGGACTTCTTCTGGCTCTCAATTTCGCTCTTCTTCTCCAAGGTCCGGCTGTTCTTCAGATGCGTTCGAGGGTGGATTGTCGATATGGCTGACATGATTGCCTATAACTCTTCGGTTCCTGCTTCTTCCGTGAGATTTGGATAACTCTATCAGTGGTGGACTCTGGTTCTGTTGGCGTGGGGTCGCTGGGCACGGTCTCAAGGCTTGGGTGATCTTGAGGAATTAGTGCTTTTTCAAGAGTGCTGATTGGTCGGATATGTTCTGGCCACTGACTTTGTTCTTGCTGTACCCTGGCCGGTCCGAACCAGCCTTTCTGATTTGCACTTTGTCTCCTACTTATAGCCCAAGACCCTGCTGCATATGTTCCGCGAGTTGGCCTAGTTCTTCGGAGAATGGCCCTGCGTAAGGCAAGATCATCGTCTGCCGCCTGAGTGACTCTTGGTCTCTTCTCGATTTGCGCGTGTCCCGCAGCCTTGCTGGAATGACACGGCCTCGCGTCAAGCCAACAGTCAAGCCATGCAGGCCTGCCCACCCGCTCGCATCCTCGTGCCTAGAAAGCTACATAAATTGGAATGTTCACAGCAACAACAAAAATATATAGAAAGAGAGAGAACAAAACAATACAATATACTGTAAAAGAAAAAACAATAGCTTCAGATTAGATTGCACAAAACTGAAAGGTAACAAAAGAGTCCTCATGCCAAATTATTTCAGGCTTGGTGCTACCTACTCAATCACTTTTCAGGGAGTTGCCAACCCCTCAATAATCGCTCAAATGATTCAGAAAGTCTTTGCAGCAAAACTTTGGTTTTGGATCACACATCTTTTAAAGTAAAACCCATGTCCGTTCGGTCCTTCCCTTTGACCGCCTGGCATCGGGAAAACCGAAGCTTCGAAGTCCCTCGAAGTCGGTCGACCGCTTCGCCGCTTCGCGCCTGGACAGCGACCTGCATCACCTCCTGCGGTCTCGGTTTTTTGCAGCCCAAATGAAGGACTAGAGGAATCAGAAGACAGGTCCCAGGTTGTATGATGGAGCCACAGTATCTTTTAGGTTAGAGGCCATCACCAGTATAGGTTGGAGTTCAACGGTATTAGTTATTGTGTTGCCCAAATCAACGGCCATGTGCCTATGAAAAATGAGCTATATACCCCGTTGGAACTTTCTGTTCTCTATTGCACCACACACTCAAAGGCCCTTAAACATGGAATTCAGTCGGAATCCAATCCCAAAAAAGAACGTGCAAGGCTGGAGTTGCTATGGAAGAACGATCTTGAGATCGATTCCGAGACTTCGAAGAAGCATCTGTCAGCAGCCTGAAGAAAACAAAGAAGCTCGTCTAACATAATCAAGTTGTAGTAGCATGAATCCGATAGTTTGGAGGGGTGATGCAGACCCTCAATCGAATCTGAAGACTGCATATTATACAATATATATATATTAAAACATATAATATATACTATATATAGATTGCTTCAATACCTGAATCGAGGCCAACCAAATGCACGGGACATTGCCTGCGGGAACTTCTGGGAGACAGTAACAGTGGAAGCCTCAACTCAACAGTGAGAAAAAAACTGTTCGACCCCTCTCCCCTACACGCACCACTCAACCCTCCTGCGTGATGCGCTGGATCAGCAAGCGCTGCCGTGACAAGGCTTCCATGAAGCGGAACCAATCGACGCCAGTCATACCCACCTTGGTGCGGTTCTGAAAGGTTCGAGCTGGAGTCCATGTATCTGTGGATCATCATTGGGTTCAAATTACTTTATATATCTAGTTGTTGTTTTCCAAAAAAAAAGGAGTAAACGGGACCCGCAGCGGTCCCGCAGTTTTTTGTGGCTTTAACATGAGTCTTGAAATATCTTGAAATGCTTCACCTGTGTTTTCGAAGTGTTTCTGTGCTTTCTGTCTTGATGCGCGTCAACAAATTTTGTGGTATTCTACCAATTCGGGACTGATTTTAGAGAATTTACATTGTGTTTCGATGTCTCGGTGTGTATGTTTGGGTTTGCAGCGCACGTCTCTTTTCAGCCTTTCTTCCACAACGCTCCGGTATCCTTCCACAGCGAACCTCTATGGTTGCAGAAGTCTGACAAACGATATTATGGTATGTCCTCATGTCGAACTGTACATAGACGAATAGAGAAACAAGTTCGCTTCCACGAGAGCCATAATGGCATCTACGGTGTGTTCCCGCGAAGACGAGACTTTTAATTCACATGCCTGAACTTTTCCACTATAGATGCTCCGACACGAAGAAAATTTGTGTCTGCTTTGTGTTTGGTAGGGTCCTATAGGTCCCCTAGGCGTGTCTACACAATACGTGTGTTGCACCTTTTTCTTGTACATATACTTGTCCGTATCTTCATTGTTGTAGAGCTTAATTCATCACTTACTTTTGGCTCAAGCCTGCACGCACCGTACCACTGCTTGCCATAGAAAAGAAAGTTCACTTTGCCGTTCGGTCTCGTTCGATCTGGGGCTACTCTGGTGTGATCGTTCTACGTCCAGTACATAAACTCTAGTACTGCCACCTTGGGGAATTCACCCCTCACCCCCGACCCCCCCAGACACCCCTGTGCAGTCCGTATGAAGTCGTCATATTGAAAACACATACATATACTGTACTCGAACGTTATTGCACATCACATTCATGCGTACAAATATGCAAAGGAACGACAAAAAAAAAACATGGTACCGTTACAGGTCCCGTTAGCAAAAACAACTCCGAGATTAGATGTGAAAACACGCTGGATCCTTGTCAAAAACAAATCATAACGGAATTTCTCACGCAGCGTCAAAGGGTCGTGTTTGGTGCCCCCTGCTTTGAACACATGCATCATCATAAATGCTCATGTCCATCCCAAGCAAGACTTCAAACAGCAGTGACTTCAAACGGCCCAATTTGTTTGGCCACATGCATTGTTTACTGAAGAGACGCAGTTATCCAAAAACATGCTGCCGTTTCAAAGGGTGCAAAATGTTGCAAACATGTGCTCAAAATCCATGAATGGGGAAAGACGCCGTTCGGATGCCTAAAACTGCCTTGTGGACGCCTATGTAAAAATGCCGGTTCTTTTGGTTTCTCACCTTGCTACCTCAAGTTTGCCGGTTTCGGCATTGTGGCAACAAAAGGTGCATATATGCAAATTCGTCAAGAACGTCTTCGGGTTTTGTGCTGGCTGAATTATGACCTACAGACTGAACATAACAATTTACTGTTTCTTCTCTGGCTCTGAAGTGGTGCCAATAATTACTCCAAGAGTCTCAGACCATGAGTGTTTGGGGTCTTCCTTTTGGTCGCAGCAAAAACAATCAATCTGGCCATGGTATTCGGTTGCCAAGTGTCCCAAGGCGTGCAGCTGTTCTCATTCTCCATGATCAATCTGGCCTTTGACAGCTCAAAACTGCTCAAGCGATTTCCCCCGTGCAGGTTTTGCTGCGCGCGGCAAGTAAATAAGCGACTCGCCGAGAGGTTGTGGAGGTCTCAGGGACTTCATGAGGCAAGATCTGCCATCAAAAAGCAACATTTGCGGAGAGTATGGAAGAGTTTGCCATCATGTGCTTTCTATAGTGACATTCGGACCTTCATTCACGGAGCGAAAGTGACTGCAAAAAACACGTTGGCTGCATCACTCACTCTGCCATGTGGCTGCATCCATCATGGCAGTGAACAAGATCTCCATCAGCCTTACATCAGGTGTGGCGACACTGGTGAGGCGACCGTCCGTCGCCCCATTAGGTATGGCTGCATCCATCAAGGAGACCCCCTGGCCCTGGGCCTGGCTGGGCAGACTGGTCTATTTCCCTTTTTTCCAGGACGGAAAGAACTGGGGGGTATACTATTGTTAGGTCATTCCAACCCACAGTGACAGAAAAATACCCCGCTCCCCAGGAATCATCCGAAAGCGAAGAATGAATTGAACGCGAGCCGGATTGAAACTGGGCCGAGGTAGGTACACAATTAATATATGTTATATATTATATAGACATGGAATTTGGAGTCTAATCGAAGTCGAACGATCCAGCTGACTCACCTATGCGAGGATCAGTTGCTACCACCCGCATCATGCTTGATAAATGTCAAGCTCTATATTCTATATTTGCCGGGAACGTTGCAGCTCCCATCTAAATTCATTGCTGACTTCTATTTCAAGTTTGCAGAGACTTACATGCACCGGACGCAAAGTTCCAATGATTGGCAAGTCCACAGTAGTGTATCAATGAGCAAAATCAATGAACATTTTGGTGTTTTGTGGCCAACGCACCACCACGGCGTGAAATATTTGTTGCACTATTTGTTGCCTATTTCATGTGATACCGACATCAACGTGTATGATTCTATATTATGCTGCTTTGCTGTGTATGTTCAGCATTTGAGCAGTTGGTATATGATAGGGATTTACAGGTGATCAGGTGAGAGTCCGACAGCGATTAAATATATATATATATAACTTAGTTCTGCCTTCCAATTCCCTCTCCAACAGCGCTCGTGTTTGAGCGAACTGCGACGGTAGCAACTATGAAGGGGTTAGTAGTTTGTAGTTAGTAGTTAGTAGTTAGTAGTAGTAGTAGTAGTAGAAGTAGTAGTAGTTAGTAGTAGTTAGTAGTAGTAGTTAGTTAGTTAGTTAGTTCGTTCGTTCGTTCGTTCCTTCGTTCGTTCGTTCGTTCGTTCGTTAGTTAGTTAGTAGTAGTGGTAGAAGTTAGTAGTATTTAGTAGTATTTAGTAGTAGTTAGTAGTAGTTAGTAGTAGTAGTAGTAGTAG